CATGAATTAGAAGAAAGAGCTAGGCTTAAAATTAAAGGCAGCACAAATTTCCCTAAATCTAGATAAAAAAGAAATATTCAAGCATATAACCAAAATTAATGAAATTAAAGATGGAAAAAGTTACTATAGCTCCCAGTGTAATGAGAATTGTTACAGTATACTTTGAAAACTTATATTGCAAAACATCTGAAAAATATTGAAGAAATGGATAAATTCCTAGACAAATGCTACCAATTCACAAATATAAACAGTCTGAACAGATACATAACAATAAATGAATTTGAGACAGTGACAAAATGTTTCCCAGCAAAGAAAAGGCAAGAACCAAATGGACTCACTGTCAAAGTCTCTCAAACCTCAAAGGTAGAGCTAGCATACCTGCTTGTCAAAAATGTTAATATAAAAGGAAAGAAAGGCATGTAATCAAATGCATGCCACACAGCCAACCTTGTCTCAAAACTCAGGGAGGAAAAGGACACATGGAGAAAGGAAACTGTATGCCAATTTCCCATTTGCTGCTAAATTCCTGAAAATTCAATTCAAGAGCACATTAAGTGGGTAGAGAATGCAACTCAGTTCATAGAATTCTTGTAGAGTTGGCATGCATAAAGCCATATATTCAGTCTCTAGCACCACAAACTGGGTGTGCCGATGCATAAATCTTGCAACAGTAGAAGGATTCTACTCCTGTTCAAGGCTACCTTTGGCTATGGGGTGAGTTCAAAGCCATCCTTGACTATGGAGTGAGTTCAAGGCCAGCCTGAGATATATGAGATCCTGTCTTTAAAAAATAGAAGAAAAAAGGAAAAACATAAAGAGAAGAACATATTTAAAAGAATGTCTACCTTGACTAGTTATTTTCATTCTAGGATTTATGAAAGGTGGGTTCAATGTATGCAAATCAATAAATGAAATTCATCACAGAAATAGACACAAGGGACAGCAATCACATGATCATCCAACCAGTGCTGACAAAGTTAAATGTCCCTTCATGACAGAAACCTTGAAAAAAATTGAAATAGAAGGAATATACCTCAACATAATAAAGGCTGTACATGACAAACCTACAGTCAACATTATACTAAGTGGAGAAAAACTGGGAGCATTTAGAAAAGGAACAAGGCAATATATCTATTTTCAGATGACATGATCCTGAGGTGAAATGATCCTAAAGACACCATTGGATAACTTTTAGGCCTAATGAGCACTTTCAGCAGAGTAGGGGGTTATAAAATCAGCATATAAAAATCAGTAACTTTTATACCAATAACAAGCCTGCTGGTAAATAAATTTAGGGGAAAATGTGATTCAGAATAGTTTTTAAAAACTGGTAATAAACATAACCAAGGAAGTGGAAAACCTCTCCTTACATTGAAAAGTTTAGATATTGAAGAAAGTTGCTAAAAGAAAGACCTCCCCTGTTTATGGATGAGTAGGATTGATATTTTAAGAAAATAGTTGTATTACTGGGAGCAGTCTGTATATTCAATGCAGTTCTTAAAATCTTCATAGAAATGGGGGAGTTCTAAAATTCATATGTAAACACAAAAGACTCTGAATGGCCAATGCTAGAGGTATCAGAGTGTCTGTTACCAAATTATGGTTTAGAGCCATTGGAACAAAACCAGCATGGCACCATCACAAAAGCAGACATGTAGATGAATAAAATAGATAGGACCCAAAGGTAAACCCACACAGTTATAGACAACAAATCTTTAACAAAGCTGCCAGAAACATGAATGAGGAAAGGATAATCTCTTCAACAGATGGCACTGGAAAAACTAGATTTCTATATGTAGAAGAATCAAAATGGATTAAAGGCCTTCACGTAGGTCCTGAAACTTTGAATCTGCTAGGAGAAAACACAGAACAATAGTTCAAGATATAGGCATTTCTAAAATAGATTCCAAAATAGCAATTTCAATATTCCAATAGGAATCCAATGAATGCCAATATCGTGGAATAATCCACAGACTGACAGTAAAGATGGAGTGAGATTTAAATGCTACTGCACAGCAGAGGAACTCATCAGTGGATAAGAGACAGCCTACAGAATGGGAAAAATGTTTTCCAACTATACATCCGACAGGGGATTCATGCAGAGGGTCTATAAAGAATACCAAAGTGCCAAACCATTCAAATGACACATAGGTTAATAGACCAAAATACTTGGAAAAAAAAGTATCTCAAACAAAAAAAACAATAACAACAAAAATAAAAACAAATGGGGGCCTGAGGAGCCAGCTGAGAAGTTAAGGCTGCTTTTCCTAAGGGAGGAAAAAAATGTTTGATTCCCAGCATCTGCATGGTGGTTTACAACCATTTATAACTCCAGATCTGACACCCTCTTCTTGCCTCTATGGTTATTGGGGACATGTGGAATCTGCAGGTAAAACACACATACACATAAAATAATTTAAAAAAAAGAAAAGAAATGCTATTGAGAATGTGTGGCAAAGGGACTCTCATTCACTGCAGGTTGTGGGGCCCAGGAGCCATGTGACCAGGGGAGCCAGCCTGGAGTAAGAGTGAGGTTGAGGCAGGTTCAAACTCCAATAAATCTCATCTTGAAACCAGCAGGAATAGGACCATTCTCCCTGCCCTGGGCCTGCTTGTCCCAGTACATGCAATGTTACAACTCCCCCTGCCACCCTTAAAGTGTTCGATTAGCCTAGAGGCCAGGTTACAGGTTAAACAGGGTTATGCTGTATAGCCCAGGCTAGCTTCTCACTCTTATCTATTGGGATGTGCATGGTGGCACTCTTTTTAAATCTCATCACTTGGGAGGCAGAGGCAGGCAGATCTTTGAGAGTTCAAGGCCAGCATGGTCCTCATAACAAGCTCCAGACAGTAAAGATGGCATGAGACACTATCTCAAAACCAAAGAAAGAAACAAACATAAATAAACAAAAACAAAAGTAAACTTACTTCGTCAAGACTTTGTAAATTCTTCCAAAGCATGAAGAAGAAGGGGGTATTTGCAACTCTCAGTCCGCAGAGACATCCGCAGGTGACCTGGATCCAAATGGTCTCAGTTCATGGGTTGTCCCCTCTCGCCCAGGAAGCCTCAATGTCGATGTTCAGGCTTCAGCTACCCCTCCACTCACCAATCGGAGCTTTGGATCCTGTGCCCCTCAGATATGGTGCGCACTGGATCCTCAACATAAAATTAGACACACTAAATCTGTTAGAAGAAAATGTGAGGAAAAGCCTTGAACTCATTGGCACAGGAGACAACTTCCTGAACAGAACACCAACAGCACAGGCTCTAATATCAATAATCAATAAATGGGACCTCATGAAATGGAAAAGTTTTTGTAAAGCAAAGGACACTGTCATCGAAACAAAATGACAGTCTACAGACTGGAAAAGGATCTTTACCAACCTTATATCTGACAGAGGGCTGATATCCAGAATATATAAAGAACTCAGAAAGCTAAACAGTGATAAATCAAGTAATCCAATTAAAAATGGGATACAGAACTAAACAGAGAACTCTCTGTAGAGGAATATCGAATGGCAGAGAAACATTTAAAGAAATGCTCAATGTCCTTAGCCTTCAGTGAAATGCAAATCAAAACAACCCTGAGATTTTACCTTACACCATCAGAATGGCTAAAATAAAAAACTGAAGTGACAACACATGCTGGAGAGGATGTGGAGAAAGGTGAACCCTTCTTCACTGCTGGTGGGAATGTAAACTTGTAGAACCACTTTGGAAATCAATCTGGCACTTTCTCAGACAATTAGGAATAGTGTTTCCTCAAGATCCAGCTATACCACTCCTAGGCATATATCCAAAAGATGCTCAAGTATACAACAAGGACATTTGCTCAACCATATTTGTTGTAGCTTTATTTGTAATAGCCAGAATCTGGAAACAACCCAGATGTCCCTCAACTGAGGAATGGGTACAGAAATTGTGGTACATTTACACAGTGGAATACTACTCAGCAATTAAAAACAAGGAAATCATGAAATCTGCAGGTAAATGGTGGGAACTAGAAAAGATCATCCTGAGTGAGGTATCCCAGAAGCAGAAAGATACACCTGGCATATATTTACTTATAGGTGGATATTAGACATATAATATAGGATAAACATACTAAAATCTGCACACCTAAAGAAACTAAGCAAGAAGGAGGACCCTGGGTAAGATGATCAATCTTCATTCAGAAAAGCAAATGGGATAGACACTGGAAGAGGGTGAAAGCAAGGAACAAGACAGGAGCCTACCACACAGAGCCTCTGAAAGACTCTACCTAGTAGGATATTAAGCAGATGCTGAGACTTATAGCCAAACTTTGGGCAGAATGCAGGGAATCTTATGAAAGAAGGGGGAGATAGACCTGGAAGGGTCTGGAGTTCCACAAGGAGAACAACAGAACCAAAAAATTCTGAGCCTAGGGGTCTTTTCTGAGACTGATACTCTAACCAAGGATCATGCATGGTGATAACCTAGAACCCCTGCACAGAGGCAGCAGCAAGGGAAACAGGGAACTGTCTCTGACATGAACTCAGTGGCTGGCTCTTTGATCACCTCCCCCTGAGGGGGTGCAGTCTTACCATGCTCCAGAGTAAGACTATGAAAGATAGTCCTGATGAGACCTGATAGGCTAGGGTCAGATGGAAGGGGAGGAGGTCTGCCCTTATCAGTGGACTGAGTAAGGGGCATGGGAGGAGAAGAGGGAGGGAGAGAAGGTGGGATTGGGAGGGGATGAGGGTGGGGCTACAGCTAGGATACAAAGTGAATATATTGTTATAAATTAAAAAATTATATTAAAAAATAAAAAAGAAAGAAACAGATTTCTGCTGTGTCTGCTTCTACTCAGCATATTTTAAATTCTAACCAGTGGTGTGTGGGGGGGGGGAATAAAAGATTCAAAAGAAATAAACCTGTAAGCACAGTTGCATGCAAAGAAAAAAATATGAGAACAAAACACTTACAAATATTTATATCATTAAAAGTAAAATTAATATCAACATAAACCAGCTCTCTAACAAAGATGGATTTTATTTGCACTGTACAAAAACAGTTTAGCATAGACTTTTGTTTAACCAGAAATACAAGGAACATAGAATTTATTTGGCATCATAAAACTGAAGTATCTTAGGTTGAGCCTAAGCAAACACGTGTACCACCTGGGCATCCGGATTTTAAAACATAGCTCAGAGCGAACGGATAGACTTCCCATGTTCCTATGCTAGAAGAGCCATTACAATAGAGACGCCAACGCCCTCCAAATTGATCTACAGATTTAATTTAATTTTAGCTAATTCCCAGTAGACATTCTTCTGAAGACTGAGTAGATTCGAAAGCATATGTGCAACCCAGTTGCTCATGAGCAAGAACACAGCCAACGCTATTCCTGCTGTACTGGACATGAATATTTTATGATAAATTTTAGTGAGCTAAACAGTATGCTATGGTTATAAAAGCAGAAGATAAGCCAGTAAAACAATCCACGACAGAAACATATACATGAATATTTGACTTATATCAAAGTGGACACTGCAGGTGAAATGGATGCTTTTCAATAAACTATCTATTTGTACATTTGTACAGGTGGGAAAGACAGCATTCTACTCCACATTAAATACAAAACTGAAGGATAAAAACTGTACTCAGCACATTAGCCCACTTAACAAGCATTTTTGGTATAAACACTGCAGCAGAGTTGAGATCTAAATTGTATGAGTCCTGAACCACCACAGAACTATATCTTCACAACCTCAGATACACAAACGGCAACCATAAAGCACTGAAAATAAGAAAGAAAAGTGTAATTTGTTCAGAAATTACAAACATAACGTGGAAAATGAAAAGGCATCAGGCTGTGAGGAGGTGTCTGCAAAGTGTACACACTGTGGCAAGAAGGCTCATCCAGAGGGCTGGGAATGTGGCTCAGTGGGTAGTCTCTTCTGCAAAGAAAAATCAGAAGTCTGACCCAGAATGTGCAAAAACTCAACATACTGCACCAAGGAAGACACAGACCGGTTCATAGGAAATGAAGCCACAGACTCGGCAACATACTTAAAAAATAATACACAAAGGCCAGTTCATATGCAAAAACATTTTCAGTTCAATCGTCATTAGGGTAATGTAAAACTAAATCCATAGAATAAGGGTAAGTCTCCACCCACCAGAGTGGCAAAAACTAAATAGACTGTCAGAGTCAGGGGTGGGACAAAGAAATGCGGGAGATTCAGAATACGAACTAGGATAAACAGAAAAATTGCCACCGTCAGTGACTGAGGCTTACCCACCTACCCTGTACACCAGAGACTCTATCCTTAGGTGTGTCTGTGAACCAGCTGACGCAAGCACAAGTGGGTATATAAACCTGGACAGCGGTATTATACGAGATAGTTTAAAAAAAAAATGACACTAACCTGGAAACCAGATATGACGAAGAGTGATGTAAAACACTATAAAGATTCGGTGAGAGGAAGATGAAGCCCCTCTGGTGCTTTACTGCACAATGGGGCGACCACAGGGAACAATAATGGATAATGGCTATGTGCCTTGGACCGCCAAATCACTGAATGGGAGAAGTGTTAATGTTCCCACCACAAGGAAATAGTGGATGTTTGGAGTGATGGATATGATAATTAGCCTGAACCGATCTTTTCGTAACATATCCACATATTAAGTCAACATATTTATACATAGTAATACATGGCCATCTGTAAGCTAAAGACTGAGACTTAAAGCATGTGTTCCTTGGACATGGAGACTGTAGAGCAAAGAAGATGAACTGCTTCCGTACACAACACTGGTTAAACCTCACAAAAGCCGTACTGAGACCGCTAGCCCATTTTATATACACCTCTTTACATAAATCTCAAAATTCACATTAGGCCAATGTGTGGAAGCTGGAGAGAAGGCCCAGGGGTGCTCCAGCAGAGGATCAGGGTTTGGGGGTGGGGTTTCCAGCCCCCACATGGGGGCTTACAAGCATCCTTAACTGCAGTTTCAGGAATCTGGTGTCCTCTTCCGGCCTCTTTGTGCACTGCATTGCATGTGCGCAAAAAGAAAGAAAAAAAAATCAAAAAGACTAATGTTGAGTTTCAGAAGTCAGGACAGAAGCCAGGTGATACTAGCACATGCCTTTAAATCCAGCACTCCAGAGGTAGACACATGCAGATTGCTGGGTTCAAAACCAATGCAGTCTATAGAGTGAGTTCCAGGACAGCCAGAGCTACCCAGAGAAACCCTATTTGGAAAACAAAACAGAAAAAAAAAAAAAAAAGTCAGAAGAGGAGAGAAGAAGAGGCAAAAAGAGGGAGGGGCAAGAGAGGGGGTACATGGGTAATATTTGTTGCTTTGGGTGTTCGCTAGACACTGCAACTGTACTTACTTTGTGAAAATTCTCTGAATGCCTTTTAAAGTTGAAGACAATTTTGTTAAAGAACGTAACAGGAAACAGTGAAGAGACTTCTTTAACAATTCAAGTTATAGTAAAATTAAAATTAATGTAACCAATAGGAAAGGATTATGTCACCCTAAATTGCCTATTAAGCTCGTTTCTTCCCTGGAGGGAAGGGCGTCGCTAGAACTTGCCTTAGGGAAGACTGCGCACAGTTTTGTGCATATGCGTGGCCATGCATGCTCTAGCACTCTAGAAAAATAGCTGCAGGGGCCCATTTTTTCCTTCTTCCATGTGGGTCCTGGGAGTTGAGCTCAGGTTGTCAGGCTTGGAGCAATTGTCTTTATTAGAGGAACCATCTCACTGCCCCAGTTTACCTGCTTTTTTTTTAAAAAAAATATTTTATTTTATTCATTTTTTTTTTTTGTCAGATTGTGAAACTCAAGGCCTGAGGAATGCCTTGGCTACCTAGGAGATGCGACATGGCAGCCTAAAGAGCCTAGGACAGTAGAGCAGAAAGGTCTGATTATTGAGAAATGCCAGAGGCCCCACTTGTGAAGTTCTGGGACATGATAGTAAGTAATGCACCATTACTATGAACCCATATAGGCCAGGTAGGTAGGTAAGGCCAGGCCAGGCCAGGCCAGGCCAGGGTGGCCCAGGTAGGTGGGTAGGACCTTTTATCTATCCCCTCCACCTCATTGCTTGCTGCCCAGCCCAGGAGAAGAAGGACATTATGCTACAGACACACAAAAAAATAAAATAATAAAATAATAAAAAAGAAAATCAATCCGAATACTTACATTCTGTTAGTGTTGTGCTGTGGATAAGTGTCTGTCAAATGGCCATGGGTTAAAAGCTTTGTCACCACCCTGTGGTGCTTTTGGGAGGTATTGGGATCTCTAGGAGGTTCTGTCTCATAGAAGGACGTGAAATCAATGGGAGCATCTCTTTGAAGGAATTATTGGGGCCCTGGGGTCTTCCTCTTTCCCTCGGCTTCCCAATTGCCATTTACCATGCACAGCAGTTGAAAATTCTCCTCTTCCTTCTGGATCACTGTGATGTATTGTACAGCACCGCTTCAGAAAATAGAGATAAGCAGCCATGGAATAGAAGCCTCTGAAATCATGAACCAAAATAAATATTTTTTTTATTATTAAGTTGATTGTCTCAGGTATTTCATTGCAGCAACATACATTGACTAGCACATGCTGGTCATTTTTCTCACACTCCCTTGAGGCTACAAGCTCAAGGTCAAGTTATTAGCACATTTGGTTTCTATCTCCCTAGCCTGCCGATGGCTGCCCTCCTGGTGTCCTCATAAGGTCCCTCTGTCTTTAGGTCTGTGCCCTAATCTCTTCCTATCGACACTTGTCATATTGGATTGAAGCTTACCTAACTACCCTGTTTCAGGTTGATCACTCTATTTTTCAAATTATCAAACTCACTCTGTGTGTGTGTGTGTGTGTGTGTGTGTGTGTGTGTGTGTGTGTGTGTACGTGCAGTATGCAAACATGTGTGCATAGAGACCAGAGTTAGATGTCAGGTGTCTACCTCAGTTGCTCTGTCTTATTTGAGACAGGGCCTCTCACAGAACCTGTAGCTTGAGGCCAGCTGGTCATCCACCTGTCCCTGCCTCCCCAGGGCTGGGATTACAAGTTATGTACGGCAGCAGAAGATTTTACATGGATGCTGTCAGTCAAACTCACTCTTACCTAAGCAAGCACTTCACAAACTGAGCCATCTCAGCCCTCTAAATGGTCACATTCTAAGTAAGGTAGTGATGGTTAAGGCTTTAATGTGAACTTTGAGGGACACAAGCAAGACTCATAAGAGTCTGACTTTTCCCCGTTAAGATCTATGACTGGAGAGGGTCTCTTAACCCTCTTGCTGAATAGGAGGTTCACAAGGCTCCTGAGGCTGACAGTAGAGAGCTTGCATGCTTACTATCCTATGATAATCCCCTTCAGTTTTAGCACAATCGGGGATGAATGATGAAACAGTGACAGAAGTCGAAAGCAGACTCTCATCAAATTTAATATTTTCCACAAAATGTGAGATCATTCAGAGGTCAGAGAAGTCTGAGACATCACTGGCCACATGGAAGAGGTCTGTTGAACTTAAGAGAGGGGAAAGGCAGGGTTGAGAGAGAAAGACATGGAGAACTTTTTAAAAAATCACTTCCATTTAGAAACTACTTTATAGACTGCCCAACAGGTGGCCATAAGTCTCAGCATCTGCTTTGATAGTCTGTAGGGCAGAGCCTTTCAAAGGCCCTCTGTGGCAGGCTCCTAACTTGTTTCCTGTTTCCTTCTCCTTCTGATGTCCACCCTCTTAGCATTTCTGAATGGGGATTGAGCCTTTTAGCCAGAGTCCTCCCTCTTGATTAGTTTCTTTAGGTGTACAGATTTTAATAGGTTTATCCTATATTACATGTCTATATGAGTGAGTATATACTGTGTGTGTCTTTCTGCTTCTGGGATACCTCACTCAGGATGATCTTTTCCAGTTCCCACCATTTACCTGCAAATTTTATGACTTCCTTGTTTTTCATTGCTGAGTAATATTCCATTCTGTAGATGTACCACAATTTCTGTATCCATTCTTCAGTTGAGGGGCATCTGGGTTGTTTCCAGCTTCTGGCTATTACAAATAAAGCTGCTACAAACATGGTTGAGCAAATGCCCTTGTTGTGTACTTGAGCCTCTTTTGGATATATGCCTAGGAGTGGTGGGCAGAGTGCATGGAATCTTATGAAAGAAGTGGGAAATAGTAAGATATGGAGAGGACAGGAGCTCCACAAGGAGAGCAACAGAACCAGAAAATTTGAACACAGGGAACTTCCCAGAGACTCATATTCCAACCAAGGACTATTCATGGGGATAACCTAGAACCCCTGCACAGATGTAGCATATAGCAGTTCAGTGTCCAAGTTGGTTCCATAGTAATGGGAACAGGACTGCCTCTGACATAAACTGATTGGCCTGCTCTTTGATCACCTCCCCCTGAGGGGGTAGCAGCCTTACCAGGCCACAGAAGATGACAATGTAGCCACTCCTAATGAGATCTGATAGACTAGGATCAGAAGGAAGGAGAGAGGGACCTCCCCTATCAGTGGACTTGGGGAGGGGCATGTGTGAAGAAGGGGGAGGGAAGGTAGGATTAGGATGGGAGGAAGGAGGGATTAAGAGGGGATACAAAGTAAATAAAGTGTAATTAATAAAAGTTAAAAAAATAAAAAAGAACTAAAAAAAAGAAACTACTTTATAATCAAATAGAATCTCACAGAATCCTCACAGCTCCATTTAACAGGTGTTCTGATGATGACTATTAATATTTTCACTGTGCTGATGCGGATGTTAAGGCCCAGAGTGTGAGGCTAGCCTTTATCACTTTAGCCTATCTCCTAGAAACCACACAAGTTAACTCTGTCTTGAGCAGTGGTTTATAATGCATTGGCGTCTCCCTTCTCTCCTACTGTGCTGTTCAACAATGCCTTGACTGGGATTAGAGGACACTGTGCTTCCTGCCAGGGGTTAGTTGTGTTTGTTTGTTTGCTTTAAGCCAAAATTAGTATTATTCTTAATGTTTCTGGTGATGTGATTTTGGAGAATGATTAGTATTCATTGGAGACACAGTCACTGTTGATTACCATCTTGACAGGATCTGGAGTCACCTAGGAAATAAGCTTCTAGGCACACCTGTGAGGGATTGCCTATATTAGGTCAGCCTTTGAGCTTTCCAGTGAGGGATCATCTTGATATGTTTATTGATTGGGAAGATCCACCCTACTATGAGGTTGCACCATTCCCTAGGCTCGGGTCCTGAACTACATAAAAAGGAGGAAGCTAACTGAGTATGAATACTCGTCACTCTCTGCTTCCTGATTGCAAGGACAGATGTCTAGCTCTCAAGCTCCTGCCAGTATGACTTCCAGTCATGATGGACGGGCTGTACAGTGGAACAGTTAGCTAAAATAAAGCCTCCTTTCCTAAAGCTGCTTTTGTCAGGGTGTTTTATCACAGTAGGGGGAAAAGTAACTGAGGCAAATATCAACAGGTAAATAAATATAACAGGGAAGACGCTGAAACAAAATTATAAACAGGTCAGTGATCAGTAGAATGAAGAAGATCTCTATTCTGATTTGGTTGTTGCTTTGCTTTACTTGTATGCTTTTTTTTTCTTTTTTTTTACAAAACTCATCATGCTAGTCAGTGCGGTATTGCTATACATGTCTAAGATAGAGAAAATGTCTGTTCTGGAAGCTCTAACCCATGACTATGGGCTATAGAGGCTTAGCGTCTGCTAAGGCAGCAGCATGTCATGGCCAGAGTACATGGCAGAGAAAAAATGTTTTGCCTCATTGCCAGGAAATACAAGACAAAAAAGGAGAGACATAACCCCACAGCCCTGTATGTGCATGTGTGTGTATGTGTATGTTTACATGCATGGAAAGGTCAGAGGTTGCTGTGGGTTATCTTCTGCTACTGCTCTCTAGCTTATTTTTTCAGGACAAGGTCTCTCATAAACCTGAAGCTAGCCTATTTGATTAGCCTGGCTGGCCAATGCATTTCCCCACGCTTCTTGTCTCTACCCCCTGCTCACTTTCAGCACTAAGATTTCAGACACGTGAAACCATACCTGGCTTTTTACATTGGTTCTGGGGGATCCAAACTCAGATCTTCATGATTCCATGGCAAGTACTTTACCATCTGAACCATCTACCCAGCCTTCCTCTCCCAGTTGTTTCTGAGAGTCCATCTCTAATGACCTAAAAACTTCCCACTAAGCCTCAATCCCATAGCACCTCTCAATAACACCTTAGAAGCAAGTTTTTATTTTGCAGCATCATAGAACATTCAAACTGCCACAAGAAACATCAACCCCCGCGCTTAAAAGAAGTTGTTTGAGTGTATGTAAGCTATACCTCAATAAAGTTTATCTTAAAAAAAAAAAACACACACACATACTAGAAACCCTACCACCAAGAACAGTCACTTAATTTTTTTTTTAATGTTGTCAAGGCATAGCCACACTCTCATGCTCTCTCTCTCTCTTTTCTCTCTTTCTTCCTCTTTCCCTCCTTCCCTCCCTCCTCCCTCTCCTGCTTTTTTCTCATTCTCATACATCATGGGAGCCTTTCCATGTCAATACACAGAATGCTGCAGCAGCATTTTATGCCTCTGAACTCACAGCATCAGTAGCTATCAGCACAAACATTTCAGCTTGGAGGGTACAGGCCCCCCCCTCCACTCTCAAATACATTATATAGTACTGTGTCACTACAGTGTGATTTATTACCCCAATTTCAATGAAAAATTTGACAGAGGGCTAATATCCAGTATATATAAAGAACTCAAGAAGTTAAATAGTAACAAATCAAGTAATCCAATTAAAAAATGGGGTACAGAGCTAAACAGAGAATTCTCAACAGAGAAATATCAAATGGCCGAAAAATACTTAAAGAAATGTTCAAGATCCTTAGTCATCAGGGAAATGCAAATCAAAATGACCCTGAGATTTCACCTTACACCCATCAGAGTGGCTAAGATCAAAAGCTCAAATGACAACATATGCTGGAGAGGTTGTAGAGAAAGGGAAACCCTCCTCCACTGCTGGTGGGAATGTAAAATGGTACAACCACTCTGGAAATCAATCTGGCACTTTCTCAGACAATTAGGAATAGCGCTTCCTCAAGATCCAGCTATACTACTCCTAGGCATATATCCAAAAGAAGCTCAAATACACAACAAGGACATTTGCTCAACCATGTTTGTAGCAGCTTTATTTGTAATAGCCAGAAACTGGAAACAACCCAGATGCCCCTCAGTGGAGGAATGGATGCACAAATTGTGGTATATATACACAATGAAATATTACTCAGCAATGAAAAACAAGGAAATCATGAAATTTACAGGTAAATGGTGGGAACTGGAAAAGAGCATCCTGAGTGAGCTGTCCCAGAAGCAGAAAGACACACACGGTATATACTCACTCATAAGTGGATATTAGACATGTAATATAGGATAAACCTATTAAAATCTGTACACCTAAAGAAATTAATCAAGAGGGAGGACTCTGGCTAAAAGGCTCGATCCCCATTCAGAAATGCTGAGGATGGACATCAGAAGAAGGGGAAAACAAGGAACAGGACAGGAGCCTGCTACAGAGGGCCTTTGAAAGGCTCTGCCCTACAGACTATCAAAGCAGATGCTGAGACTTATGGACAACCTTTGGGCAGAGTGCAGGGAATCTTATGAAAGAAGTGGGAAATAGTAAGACCTGGATAGGACAGGAGCTCCACAAAGACAACTACAGAACCAAAAAATCTGGGCACAGGGGTCTTTTCTGAAACTGATACTCCAACCAAGGACCATGCTTGGAGACAACCTAGAACCCCTACACAGATGTAGACTATGGCAGTTCCGTGTCCAAATGGGTTCCATAGTAATTACAACAGGGAATGTCTCTGACATGAACTCAGTGGCTGGCTCTTTGATCACCTCCCATGAAGGGGGGAGCAACCTTACCAGGCCACAGAGGAAGACAATGCAGCCACTCCTGATGAGACCTGATAGACTAGGATCAGAAGGAAGCAGAGGAAGGCCTCCCCTATTGGTGGACTGGGGGAGGGGCATGCATATAGAAGAGGGGGGGAGGGGGGGACTGGGAGGGGAGAAGGGAGGTATTCAGGGGGGGATACAAAGTGAATAAAGTGTAATTAATAAAAATTGAAAAATAAAAAAGGAAAAAACTTCAGGTGATTTCAGTTTGTTGGTGTTATTACCTACCACTATTAAATCCTTACACACATCTCTTTATTTACACCCTCAGTTGTTACCATGTTACAGGAAAATTAATTAGTCACGGAGGCTCTCTCTTTTGTAAGGGATTTGAGGCATCTCTAAAAATTACCTTTCCTAAAAGCTATCCCTATTTACACACAGTCCATTCCTCTCTCTCTTGTCTGCAGTCCCTTCAGCATCCTGCTACCCCATGCAGACAAGAACAAGGCAAATCCTGCTGCCTGGTATACATGAAACCTCACAGCTTCAGAAGCCACTGAAACCCTACAAAGCCAGAATCTGAGCCCAAATTCAAGGCCCATAAAGTGTCTGAAAGCCCTTCTGACAGTACATGCAGAGGCCAAATTCAAAACCGGATCACCTCCTGACTTGCTAAAGGAACACTGAACTGAGGGCCCAAAAAGAGTGTATTTCCTTCCATGCTCAGTGTGACTCTTATACTCACTTAACTGCTTTGGAACGAACCTTGATGGAGAGGTTCTTCTCCCTTGCGGCAGGGATCTAGAAGTCGTATGTGCCATTTGAGGTGTCACACTTGCTGCTTGTCAGCCGGACTCCACCTGGTTCCCCTCATTCCCAGCCCTGGACTCTGCTGCATGTAACCTCGGGACTGCGCTGCTTAACTTCTTCAAGACAAAAGGTCAACAGAAAAGCGGAAGTCGTGATCGCGTTTGTTCCATAGACTCCTGTGAGGATGGTATCAAATAATGCAACCAAATTCACTGGCGACAGCCCTGGCCCTGCTCAGGAGATGACGCTTTGTGGTTCCCCCTGATACGTGGCTTCAAGGCAGCAGAAGCTTCGCAGCCTCTGTCCCATCTAACACTGGTGTCTATACAAGCGGCTAACCACCGCTCTCATTTCACAGCTGCCTGATGATGACACCGATAAACTGAGGAGCACACAGTCCCATTCTTAGGCGTGGTCTGCCCGCTCCTCCTGCCACCAGGACCACGCCTGACAAATATAGCAGAAATTACAGGCGTCTGATTTAAGGCTGTGTGTGTACATTACTCTCGAGCCAAGCCCCAAACTCTAGTTCTGTTGCTGCTTCAAAGGACCATCTCTGTTTCAGTCTCCACGCCCAGAGTAAGCAGCAATTTGAAAGGCAACCCCCTTTTAATTTTAGCCTAAAAAAAAAAAAAAAAGCCAACATAGCAGCGCTCACCCAAGAATCTATCACAACGATGTTGTTTGACTTGGGTTGAGAAAATGACAGGCTGAGTTCTGCACCAAGAAGAGA